CCTGTGCCCCGGGGCAGCTGCAGGACACTGCCCAGGGCTCCTGCTGCCCCACATGCGTGGGCCCTGGTGGTGAGTACTGTCTGAGCTCAGAACCTCCTTTTAGCCCCACATCTGGTTTTGTGCGGTTTTGTTGGGGACACACTGTGAGAAACTCCCTTTCTCTCCTGCTGCCCTCTTTACATTTTTAATGGCTTCACTCATGGGCCAAGAGGTGGGGGCAAGCTTTGAGCAGGGAGCAGATGTGCCTAATGTTGTCCTCATTTTGGAGATTAAAACGGGGAGAGAAACCTCAGGTATTCCCTGTGCACTGGGACTGCAAGTTCCAGAAATGCTTCCGCAGCTGTTGGGTGCCTTTCCTTGTAGAGTCCCAGTGGGAGTGATGCATCCAGAGCTCTTAACTCACAAGGCCCTTGGAAACTGGAGGAATTGTTGCCCTCTTAACCTGCTTTGGCAGTTTGGGATTCTGAGAGGCACAGGAGCTGTGTTTTAACTACGGGTCCTTGTTTTGCTGTCCCTTAGAGCCTTGCTCCTTTGATGGCCGCGTGTTCCGGGATGGCGAGGGCTGGAGCCTGGGCCGGTGCTCCAGGTGTGTCTGCAGGGACGGTGCAGCTCAGTGCTCCACAGCTGCCTGCCAGCCTCTGCTCTGCAGCCAGGTCAGCCCCTCCAGCCCTCTGGGAACGCTCCTCAGCCCTCCCTTCCTGCGGGCAGCCTGCATTTCTTGTGCTGGGGAGCAAACCAGCAGGCGAAGCTCCTGGGTGACAAGTGGGTGGTTTGGGAAAGAGATATTTGCCCTGCAGAAATGGTGTGGAGTGACGGTGAAGCCTGTGTATCTGCTCCCTAATACCTTCTTTCCTCATCGTTTAATTTCTATCATCCCTTTGCTGGTTAATTAGGCAAAAATTATGTATAAAGAAACTACTTTTTGTTTCCACTCAAAAAAAAAAATTGATCAGTAGTTGATCAGGAAATGTTTTTATTTCTGTTGGGTGAAGGAATGAAAACACAGGATTTATAATGGGGTTTAACTTTACAAATTTCAATGTTTGGTTTGCAGCTGGAAAGCTTGATCTGCAGATTTTGTTACCTTTTTTTTTTTGTACAAGAACTCTAGAAGTGCATCTGAGAGTAGTCAACTGTGGGTGAAATTCCCCTTTTGCCTTCAGAAATACAAGGCAACTTGAGCTGAAAGAAAAGTCTCAGAGCAGTGCTCCTTCTGTCCGTTTGTGTTTAGAAAACAACAAAACTGGGAAGAGGAGTTAGGCAAGCTCGTGGTTTTAGTCCAGTTAGGAGAGGAGGGACACTGCTGTCTCTAAGGTCTTTGCTGTGGACAAGTGATGAGTTTTTCGCATTTATGCAGGGATCAACACAGCCAAAACCCTACAGACTCTACACAGCATTAACACAGGGTTAGGAAAGGCAGCAAACTGTTCACAGCACTCCGGACTCAGGGCAAATCACTCAGATTTTGGAATTCTTGTTGTTGTGTTGAAGGGTGTGACTGTGCTCTTTGGATCTTTTCCATGGGGCCCATGGTACCCTGGTTTTGGGCCCCTTGGTGCACTCCTTTGCAGCAGCATGCCTGGAACTGCTTCCCTGGAAATCCTTGTCTCTGACCTTGACTTTATGATTTAGGGACTGCCATTTTCCAGGTATTTTCGATATATCCAGTGATGAATCCAGGAGCTCCCTGAATGAGAACTCTTCACTGAGAAAATCAAAAGCAGTACTCACAAACCTTTTTCTCTGTTGATGCATTCCCAGCTTTCTGTTACTGGACAGATGTTTGGACAATTAACACTTTTTTTTTCTTTTTTTTTTGATAGATGAAACCCCACTTGTTAGTGTGTGTGTATGTGTGTGTGTTAATTGTGTTTTGCTTTGTCCTGAGATATTCTATTAGTATTCATTTACAAAGTACTGTGCATTAAAAGGAATTTTTGCCTGCTTTAGATCCCTCCTCTCCCACTCCAAGTGGGCTGGCGTTACCTGCTGAGCCATTGCACTAATGTTTAATCAGCTAATCATTAGGACCTAATTTATGGAATCAGGAGGGACTGGGTTGTTGCTGGGATGTATTTGAGAGTAATTGGGTGGCAGCATCCAAGTTAATGCAGCAGAAAGCCAGTTCTGATGGTGTTCCAGGCATTTCCTACCAAGGACAGGTCCCACTGGAAGGGACATTAGCAGGGTGTGCAAAGAACCTGTTCTGATCTCAGCCAAACCAAAGCTTTTCTTGCATGGGCCTTTATCTCTGTCCCTTCCTTTGTTCTCCACTCCACAAAAGCCAAGACGAAAATTCTCCCAGGATTAAACTCTCATCTTCCATCTTTCTGATAACTTTGCTCTTCCCTAGGAGCTGAGGGAGAAGAATGCCAAAAATTCCAGTTGCATGCCACCAAAATACACAAAAAAAGGTCCTTTAACTCAGCTGGGAGATTTTGCTTGGTAACTTTTGTGCAAAGTCTTCCACTGTTTCTTTGGGAGCTCAGGGTTTGACTGATGAACAGTGCTGTTCCCAGCTGTAGGATGTACATGGACTGGGAGCAATGGAATTAGCCAGGTTTTGGATGGTTGGAGTTGAGGCACACAGGAAAATTAATATTGGTGTGAAGTGCCAGCATTTTCCAACATGATTTAAATCCATCATAAAAAAAATTGAAATTGGAAAAATCCAGTTTTAAGCATAATTTAACATCTGCACAGACAGTCTGGATGGATTTAACTAAAACAGTGCAGATGCCTGAGAGGTGGTGAGTGTAAATCACACCTTCAAAACCTCAAAATGTGGCAATTCCAGAAAAAAACTTCTCTCATCCATCTCCTGCCTTATTGTGCTTCCCTGCAAGCTGCATAATTATTTTTTTCCTCTATATACCTGAATGTAAACACTTTATGTCATGTGTATGAATTTATCTGCATCTCTCCATCTATTCACACCTCAGCTGCCATCTAAATAAGCACAGAAAATGAGGTGGAGAAAACATCTTTAAAGCCTTTTACTCTGCTCCTGTGGGGCCGAAGGGAAGCCCTGAGTGGCAGAGGGTTATCCCATGGATGCTAAATGCCTGGAATTCCAAGCACTGATGTTCATGCTTTCTTTTCCTTGTCTCTGCCTTCTGCTTAGGAGGAAATCATGGTTCTGCCTCCTGGGAAATGCTGCCCAGAATGTGTCCCCAAGCCCTGCTCGGTGTCGGGAAGAACGTTCCAGGTGACTTGTGACAAACCACACCAAAACCACTCCCAATTTTTGGCACATCTCTCTTTCCCTTCTCCCCAGCCTCTGACTTTGTGCCAGCGCTGATAGCTTACTACAAACACTGCTTTTTTCCCTCCTGGCAAGGCAGGAGAGCTGAAAGAAATCAGGACTTGATAAGAATTTGCTGGCCAAAGCAGATGAGGCACTTTCTTTCCACATTCGTTTTGAAGGAGGAAAGCAGAAAGCACTGGTGGTCAAAGTATTTATAGCTGTCATTGTGTCATCTGGGATTAATTGAGTGCATTATTTAATGTATGTGGGATTTTCTGTCAATGATTCTTTTTTGGCTAATAATAGTAGTTTAGGCCTCCCCAAAGCCACTAGCTTGCAATTAATGAGCAATACACATCCACAGTGTGATCTAGACCTCAGCCCCTCTCCTTCCTGTTTGCTGAGCATGTAGAGATCAGCATTTTCTAAGGAAAGTTTATTATCTGATACAGACACGCAGAAGGAGCCATCATATTCCATAAGCAGCTCAGGTTTCTGGAAGGAATTTGGTTGTTTTCCAAGAGTGTTTAACAGCTCTATCCATGTTCTTTGTCAACAGCACGGGGAGCAGTGGCAAAAAAATGCCTGCACTACGTGTGTGTGTCAGAGAGGGGAAGCCAGGTGCCTGAGGGAGACCTGTGGCTCTGTCACCTGTGAGGAGGTACTGGAAAATCACCCGCCCCTGAGAGCCCAGCTGCACCTGTGCTGTGCCAGGGGCCTCGGGAGCCCTGCTCACTGCTGGCTGCTGCTTCCAGGGGCAGAGCAAGGTGCAGCGCCCTGGGAAGTGCTGCGAGGAGTGCGTGTCTTCCAAAGGGAGCTGCTCGGATGGGGGCACCATCAGGTACCACGGGGAGATGTGGAACAGCACCCTCTGTGACTTCTGCATGTGCCAGGAGGGGGAGGTCACCTGCCAGGGAGCTGAGTGTGCCAAAGTGGAGTGTGCCAAGGTGAGAAAGGCCTTCTTCTCGAGATTTGGGACCTTATTTTTTCCCCCTCCCTTTTTCTTGTTTCTCAACTTGAGGCACTTGAAGAACCAGCCCTTGTTTTGTGCAATCCCCTCAAAAATATTTCACAGAGGAGAGCAAACCTGGAATTTCCCATGCAAGTTTGCACAGTGGGCTTCCACTGTGAAGCAAATGCAGTTAATTTAACTTGGATTCCCTCCCATGCTGTGTCTGCCTGCTGTAGTGGAGGGTCAGACACACAGGGGATTCAGTGGTGATCACTGGACTTACCAGGAGCTGAGCATGGGGAAAATGTGCAGGTCAGAGATGGTTAAAAGCCTAAGAAATGTTCCTTTTATCCTCATTCTGCGTGCTGCAGTGGTCTTCAGGAAGGTAGTTGGATATGGAAGTCAGTGTTCTACTTTTCTTCATTTTTTCCATGTCACTCTCAGCGTGGAAGTGAGGCTGGCAAGGTGTTTTATTCCCAGTGCTGTTTACTCCAAAACTAATACCCTCCCTGCCAGGTTATGTTGTATTTGCTCTGCAGTGGATGTGCAAAATGCATTAGATAGGGTTGAATGCTTCCCCCACATGCTTTGAATTGGCTATTTTTGTAGTGGGATAAGACTTCTGTGTTGTCTGTCACTGCACAGGCTGAGAGGATTGGGATTGGTCATCCTGCAGAAGAGAACACTTTGGGGTGACCTCATTGCAGTTTCCAGCACCTGAGGGGCTCCAAGAAACATGGAGAGACTTTTTGCAAGGGTCTGGAGTGACACAATAAGAGGCCATGGCTTCACACTGGCAGAAAGCGGGTTTAAATTGGATATTGGGAACAAATCCTTCCTGTGAGGGTGCTGGGGCCCTGGCACAGGCTGCCCACAGAAGCTGTGCCTGCCCCATTCCTAAGTGTCCAAGGCCATTGGTCCCTTCCAGCCCAAACCTTTCAGTGTCTCTGTGATCTGTTTCAATTGGTGGGTTCTTACCCGTTTTATGCCTACTGCTCCACAGTGTCAGTGAGGAAAAGGGAAAGAATTGTGGCCTCCTGGGTTTTCTGCCTCAGTGGTGATGCTTTTCTGGTGACCCTGCCTGTGTGTGCTAACTCTTGAGCAGCAGCAGCAGCACCCTTGTGGTGTGTCTGAGGTCCAGCCAAAACCCAGCACAACGGTTTCACTGGATTAGCTTGTTTTAATGAGCGTTCAGAGGAGTAAAAACCCACACGTGGGCTCCCAAATGGGACACAAAAGGGCGCATCGAGGCATGAAAGTGGATGTTCACCTGTGGCTGTGCCTTTGAAAGAGCCAAAATGCCCTGAGTGTGGGACCCAAAGTCACCCCTGGCGTGGTGCTGCTGCTGATCACGGGAGCTGAAACTGCTCAGAGAGATTTTGCTGGATGAAAAGTCGTGGTTGCCATAAAATCTCGTGCACTTGCAGCTGTCTGAGCGAGCTGCCTGCGTGCTCCTGGCTGTAAATTGGATCATTTACACTAATGATGATGGCCTGCTGTCATGGCTCAGTGGGGAGGATTAGTTAATATTCATGCTCACATCTTGGGTACTGACAAAAAAAAATCCACTGTTCGGAAAAGCCAGGGGTGTCTTGCAGAACAACAGCTGGAGATGTTAATGTGCAGGTTCAAAACCCCTCAAGTCGTGTTCAGTCCTGGTGTGCCTCAGTAGTGCAAGGTGTGTGCATTAATTAATTACAGGAAAATGTTTGCTCAGAAAGCAATGCCATGTTTTCTTTCTCCTTTGTATTTTCCTTCTGAAGTTGCAGATCTGTTTACTCAGACACCTGCCTCAATAAACCAGAGCCAGTGTGAAGCCAGGAGCTCTTGGATTTCTCTCCTCACAAGGCACTATTAATTTCCTGGTCACATCCTCCTACTGGAAGTGTAATGAGGCCACAGATAGGAACTGCAAGAGGTTCAGCTCCAAACCCTTTCAAACAAACTCGCCCAGCAAAGTGTCCGTGGGGATTCTGACCTAATCCTCAAAAAGCCATTTTCAGCAGGCTGTGAGCATGTTCTCCACCTGGAATACGATCAATCTCTCTGCAGCAAAGCCACAAGTTATCTCCCACAGCCTCTCCCTTTTCTGAGCCTTGGCAGAGCAGCACAGCTGCATTTTTTTGGGGCTAGGCAAGCTGTGTTCCATGGATAGCTGCTCCCAGTTTTCCTATAGCCTCTCTTTATGGATGTGGGTGGGGATGGCAGAGTTTACAGTACACAGCAGTGACATGAGATCCAAACCCTGCCAAAGGCATTTTGGAGTAATTGAAGAGCAGAGATGTATAGAAGCAGCAGGGAGAGATTTGGGCTGTGTGTGGTCCTTGGAGACTGCGAACCAGGTGGTTCCTCCTCTGTTTCCCTGCTCAGGAATGCACCAGGGAGGCCAGAGTGTGGCCTGGCTTAGGTGTTCTTCCTTGGTGACCCTGGCAATGACCAGTGCTGCTGCTGCCCTGTCTGTGTCCTGCACAAGGATTGAACGTGCCAGTGTGGCACAGGGAAAATGATCCTGGAACAAACACCCCACTGGCATCAATCAGAAAAACTTACTGGTAATCCTGGAAACCAAAGCTGTTTCTTGTGAGCTATGTCCTGGTTCCCTAGGAAAAAGAAATCTCTCTCTTTTTCTAAATATTCAGCTTCCACTTGGGCACAAAGAGTCGTAGTGAATTGGGGCACTTTATTCCTTTCTCCTGCTGCTAAATTCTTATCTTCAAACTGAAGTTATTTAAGTGGAATCTGCGGAGCTGTACAGTTGTGACAAAGAACAGGCTTTTTCCATCTGGGATAAATAGAGCATGTGCTTTGAAATTCTCTTGGGGAAGTAAAAGTAGAACATTGAAAAGGAAGGTAAGCCTCTATGCGTTGAAGTCCTGAGGTTGGCCTGGTGAAATCCCAGTGATCCATGGGAGAAAGGGGGAGTATTTCTCTGTGGGATTTGGGCATGAGGTAATGGCCTTAGCGCTGAATTCCGAGGCCTTTCCTGGGGTTTATTCTGCTGCTGCAATATTGGCCAAGCATGTTTTCCAACCTCTGCCTACAGAGGTGAAGTGGGATAGAGAGAAGATAAGGTGAAATTAGATATTGGAGATTGCATTCCAGGGCAAGAGCTGTTCTGCCTCGGCATTCCACAGTGGTTTTGGCGGTGTTGATTCCGTTGGAATTGCTGCAACCTTTCTCTTCTTCACAGGGTGAAGAATTAATTCACTTAGAGGGGAAGTGCTGTCCTGAATGTATCTCCAGCCGTAGTGACTGTGTTTACAAAGGGCATACCAAAGCTGTGAGTACCCTTGTACAGGATTGCAGCAGGGAATAGTGAGTTCTGCTCACAAAGGTTTGGAGGGGCTGGCCCTCCCCCTCTGGTTCTATGAAGGATATTATTTGCAAGTGTGGTAGCAAAATAATCCATAAATATAGTCTGCAGATTGCTTTTGCAGTTTGCAGAAACACTTGTGTGCATCTGCTGCAGAATTTCAGTTTTCCTTGGTCTCCTCTGTGCTGCTCAATCAATCATTTTCCTTTAATATTTAATATTCCTACTCAGAGGTTTCCTGCACATTTCATAATGATAGTTGATTTTAATCCTATCAAGCAGAAGCTACCGAGCTGGGGCAGTCTGTAGCTTTCTGCCAATGTATCCCACTGATTATAATCTTTACTGCAGCAGGAGCCCATTATTAATATTTTCAAGGAACTTCCCTCTGCAGTTAAAGAGAAAAGAGGGAACATTGATTTAAATATTAAGTTTAAATATTCCAGTATCTAATTTATTAAAAATTTTATTTATTCCAGTAGTGGACTTTTCATTGCCCTCACTGATGAGGGCCGGAGCTGATAGCTGCTCCTTGCCAACAGAAGTGGGAAATGTAATGTTGCGCGGGGCTATTTTTTTAGACGCTGAGCCTTTCTTTGCTCAGATCCCTTTCTCTGCCCCAGGCGGGGTAAAACACTGAGGTGTGGGTTT